AAAGAACACAGCTGGGAGTGCAAGTGCAAAAGGACTCCACCTCTGTGGCTAATAGATTCATCTCTGAACCCATCCATGTACATACTCACTCACTTGTCTAACTCACTTGTTCATGGCTGGGATACCTACAGTTTAAGTAAGGGACAGATTTGGGCCAGGGATTTAGCTTAGTGATACAAGGGCCTGCCTGGCAAGGACGAAGTCAGGAGTTTGATTCCCTGGTACAAAAAAAAAGAGGGAGAGATTTATGGCTCAGTTTCAGAAGTTTCAGTCCATGCTCATCGGACTCAAACACAAAAAACAGCATAGTAGAATAGAAGGGCTTAGGTGCAAGAAAGCTGCTCACATCATGGCAGCCAAAAATCAGGAAGAGAAAGCAGAAGTTGGGGAGGGAGACCCTTCCAGGCCATGTGCCCAGTGGCTCCTATCTTCCAATCAGGCTCAATCCTCTAGCAACATGTTCACTTTGAATTCATCAGTGGATGAATCCGCTGAGGCATATAGCACTCCCATGATCCTTCAAAGGCACATGATGAGGGGCATCCCAGACCCAAACCCTTACACTCAGTCATCCCCATTGAACTGCTGCCACATGCTATGCACACTGGGGATACGATACAATACGATACGATACAGCTGACTCCATGCAGGGTGGCATGGCACAGGGGCAGCACTTCCAGGCAGCAGCCAGCAAAAGCAACCAGAGCAAAGGCACGCGGGGCGGGGGCGGGGGGGGGGGGCTCTTTTCTTTCCTTATACTGTACACAGGCCACTCCCCATTCCCCATCCACCCCACTTGGTGGGAGCCCGATGTAGCACTCACAAAATCTCTGTGCCTCCTCTTGCACAGGCTGAGGATGTTTATAAATTAAGGGCCCTGGCTCGCTGCTGAGTCCCTTAGTTAAACTTCTAAACTTTTCAAGTTAATACAGTGAATCAATCACACCAGGGATTCTGGTGTAGTCATCCCTGGCAGGTGAAAGGAAAGTAGGGCATGGAGAGACAGCAGCAAGATTAGCTGTGATCAGAGATTTAGAGGACATTTGTCAGGGAATGTTTTGTTTCCCTCAGACCCACCCTTCCCAGGAGTTGAATTTCTTAAACAAACTAAAACAGATAGCATCATAATCCCAGCACCAGCACTCGGGAGGCTGAGGCAAGAGGATCATTCCAAGTTTGAGACCAGCCTGGGCTGCAAAAGTGACCCCCAAGGGCAGCCTGAACCACATTAAGAGACCTTGTTTCAAACAGAAAAAAAAAAAAAAATCCCAGAAATATCAACAGTCTGTACCAATCGTGCCGCAGTGAAAGACAGTATCTCAAGATAAAATTCCTGAAGTATCTAATTAAAATGGAGTGGAACTAACTTTAGATAAAGACTGCCCTCAAGACTGATGGACTGACTAAAAAAAAAACTGATGGACTGATCAGCACAGCCATTCCCCGCCTGGGGCGGGGGGTAGTGCAGCAAGTTTCATTTAAATCAATCTCTTGCTTGTCCAGCATGCACAAAACCCTGGGCCCAGGGTTCTTATGCATAAAAAAGATAAATCTGTCACCTCTCTTAAGAGTTATGTAGAAGCCAGCCGTGGAGAGGCCACTCCCAGTGCATCTACTTCTTGAGTCCCATTCACTCGGGGCATTGTCTGCAACAGAAGGAAGATAAGATAACTTGAGGCCCCTGGGGCTGTCATTAAAACAGTTTACATCCGAGTTTTCCACAAATGTGTACAGCCCATTTCCTTCCTTTGGCACCTCCTCTGTTACCCGTGATATTATTAATGTTTGAACTTGTCTGAAGTGTGTTTTGTGCCTGTGTACTTGATGAGCCTAGTTTTGCCAGAAGTCATTTGCAGAAAAGCAACTTTCCACTGCCTTTGAAGAAACTGAAGATGGGTAGGAACAGAGGAAGTTCCTTTCCTAACAGCCTCACAATAGACAGCCCATATGGTGGCCTTGGGTAGCAAACCCTCCAACCCAAATTAAAGCAGACAACAAAGGTTTCCATGGAAGTGAGCAAAACCAGTTAGAATATAAAATAGAAAAGAAGACCCCAGTTATAAAACAAAGAAGCTGGGTGTGGTGGGGCGCAATTGTCCTAGTACTTAGGAGGCAGAGGCAGGAGGATCAGAGCAAATTCAAGACCAGGTTTGACTTCATAGCAAGATCCTGTGTCAAAAAACATAATAGAACAATATCTCGGTCACTTTTCTCTCATTGCTGGAGCAAAATATCTGGCACCCAAAATTAAGGAAGAAAAGGTTTATTTAGCTCCCAGTTTGTGGATTTTTCAGTCCATAATCAGCTAACTCCAAGGCAGGTTGACACTGCAGAGGGTCAACACTTCAAGGAGGCAGAAGAGCAAAAGCAGCCATAGCAAAAAGGGGTGGGGGGGCAGAGGCCTCTTTTTCCTTCCTTATATTGTAGGCTACACCCCTCAGGTGTAGCGCTCACAGATCTCCTTGCCCTCCTTTTGTACAGGAGTAAGTTTACAAAGTAAGGACACACACACACCCCACCACCATCACCACTCGGCACAATCACTTAAACTTCTGACCTTCTCAAATTGACACAATGCTCCACATCCTAGGACAGTAAGGGCTTGACTGCTATCCCCCGGGATGTAGAACTGCTGAGTTATGTAGTTAAACTTCTAGGCTTCTCACATTGACACACTGTATCACATAACAGACACAGAAAGTGAAAGTTACTGGTAAAACAGTTACCTGGAATGTGCCAGGTTTCATCCCAGCACCTTAGGGAAAAGAAATAAGGAGAGAAAAGGCAGCGGGCAGTGAGATCTATAAAATATCTCAGTTTAAATATTAAAACTAGATGAGAAAAACCCTAAGACACTGGAAATACATAAACATAGATTTGAACACCAAAAAGGTGTACATTGTTAGAGAGAAAGGGCCAACGTCATTAAGGAATTTCTTTTTCCTACTCTAGTACGAATGTTTGAACCCAAATAAAAACTATCTTTTCTTGAAGGACAGGCGTGGGCTTAGATAAGTTAACAGTTGTCAAGCTTATTTGGATGAAGATGCACAAATAGCCAGGAAACTGCCCCCAGGAGAAGCAACTGTGGATAGAAGAATGGCCCATCTGCCCTTCAAACAGTGCAAAAGCTTTTTTATAGGTTAAAACAAATGGTACCGATAAATGAATAACAAGAACAATGGTGTGACATGCAAACTTCAAAAACAATCAGTGTATGAAAAGGTAACTTTTAATAGAGGTGGAGACCTCCATCCTGGTGAAAGAGATGCTTTGTAATAAGCTGCCTTGGGATAACTAGAAATCCTACGGCAGAGGAAACGTGGAGCCATGCACACAGCACATCGCGTCACCCTGAAGTAAGTACACACCCGAGAAGATCTTATGTTGTGTTGGTATGGTTTGATTTGGTTTAGGTTGGTTTTGGTTGTTCTGTGACAGGGTCTCACTATGTAGCTCAGGCTGGACTTCAACCAACAGTGTAACTCAGGATAGCGCCACGCTAAGCCTGCCTCCAGCGGGTGCTGCATGTACAGGCATGAGCCACCATGTCTATTTATATTTTTAGTTGAATGATCTATAAAATGTTTTCTATAAAATTTTTTTCTGTGGGGAAGAAGGAGAAAAGATAAAAGAGATGGGGATAGAAATGAGATTTGTTTGAATGTATCTTGGGTTTTTAGAATTGACTTTGGAGGGCTGAGGATTTAGCTCAGTGTCTCAAGTGCTTTCCTGGTAAGCATGAGGTCATAAGTTTGATCCTGGGTCCAAAAACAAAAACAAATATATATATATATTATATATATATATATATATATATATATATATAGAGAGAGAGAGAGAGAGAGAGAGAGGAGAGACTATAGAATCATTAAACTTTTTTTTTTTGGCTTTTTGGGTCTCGATACACAGCTTAGGCTGGCCTTGGGCTCACTTTGTAGCCCAGGTGGGTCTTCAACTTGCAAACAGTTCTCCTGCTTCAGCCTCCCAAGTGCTAGGATTACAGGAGTGCACCATGCCCAGCTTAGAAATCATTAAACTATTTCACATTTTATAGTAATAAAATTTTATTTTACTGTAAATTTTACTGTAAAATAATATATTTAAAAAGATAATCTCCCAAATTGAAGCTAAAACAAAACATAAAAACATAAATATGTGTCTAGTTAGTAGATTTAAAGAGATAAAATATTCTGTATATGCCTGAGTTACTTTCTTCTTTCTGGGACCAAAAACCTGACACTCATGAGTTAAGGGAGGAAAAGTTATTTTGGCTCACGTTTTGTAGAGATTTCAGTCCATAGTCTGCAGGATCCAAATCAGGGCAGCATGGCAGAGGAGAAGCTGTCCATGGTGGGCAGGAGGGAGCAGCGTGAGTGCCTTTCTTTCCCTTCTTATTCCAGCCAAGCTGTAGGCCTGTGGTCAGGGCTACCACATTCCGAGTGGGTCTTCCCCCGTCAGTACATTCGTCACCTAGAACCAAACAGTGGACTGACCCACTATCACACACTGTGCCAGTCACTCCAAAAGCCCAGCCACGAAGGCAGGAGACTTTGGAGGGACATCTGTAGATAAGCCAAAACAGTATGACCTAAAAATATATAATAATTTGACCAGATATCCCAAAGGTATATGCCTTTGGGACAGAAAAAATTGTAAGGGCTGGGAGGGAGAGAAGTACATTGTGGATAGAACGTTGCATTGATACAAAATATACTGTATGAAATAATGCAAATAAGTTTATTATGTCAGTATCATTGAAAGCCAGGATTTTTCAGCACAGGAAAAAAGAGAAGCAAATGTAAAAGTAACAAATATAAGTAAAATTTATGGTGCTGACTTTAATTTGGAAACATCATTATGCATATTTTATCTTTTTTTAAACAAAATCATGTTTCTTAACTCTGCTGAAAAATACTAAAAACAACAACCAACACAACACCAGTGAGCACCCTGAAAACCTAGAATTTGATTTCTAAATTCCATTTTCTCCTATGAAGGAGCAGAACTCTGCCAGGCCTGGCGGTATATTCCTTCCTATAAGCCCAGCGCTCTCAGAGTGGATCACCGGTTCAAGTCCAACCCAGAAAACAGCAGATTCTCAAAAGGTAGTCTTGAAATAAAAACTTACCAGAGGGTTGGGATATAGCTCAGAGCAAAGGCCAGTAATGAAAAGAGGGGAGATGGGCGGAGGGTATAGTACAGAAGTATTTGTATAGCACACTGTGTTAGAAGGGCTCTTGCCTAGCATGAGCAAGGCCGTGAGTTTGATCCCTAAAACTCCAAACAATAATTGTAAAAATTTAAATAAAAATTATGGTTAGAGTATTCTGGCTCAACAGAGAAGCAAAAGTACAAAATGAACAGGTTTATTAAGCTGAGGATGTGGAAAGGAGCACACAACCCATGGTGGTTGGGCTGTCTCCTTCCACCAGATACAGAGAGGCAGAGGGTTATGTGACCTCTGATTGAAGTGGTGCATGGGGCGGGTATTGATGACATGGAATTCTCTGGGCATGCAAGTAGGGAGGGGAGTTGAAGAAGAACCAGGAAGTGGTAAGTGGTTTTTTTTTTGGCCTTCTACCACATTAGATCATGGCCATAACTGTACAGTAATTTATACCAGGTCAAGAACCTTTCAAATTATACTAAAAATATGTTTCAATCTGTGTATGTAAAAAGATATTCAGAAAAATCCCACCTCACTGGTTGGACGGGGTTGGACTCATGCTGTCCTTTACAACACCCAATAGCAAGTAGTACACAGCTACTAAATCAAATGTGCCAAGTCCAGCCAAGGAGGTGAATTTTTATTTTATTCACTTATAGTCACTGATGTTTGTAGTCTTAGGGATTGAACCTAGGGCTGTCACATATTCCCAGCACTTTCTTTTATACTTTATTTTGAGACAGTGTCTCACTAAGTTACTAAATTACCCAGGCTGGACTCAAGTTGTTTTGCCTCAGCCTCCAGAAGTGCTGGAATTACAGACTTAATTTTATTTAACTTGAAATTTAAAATGGGCCACCCAATTCAGTCACCGAAAATCTTTTAAGAGTATTTAGAACAACTTGGGAATGTGAACCCACGTTTCCTACTATAAATTTTGTGATGTCTAATCCAAGTTAAGTTGCTGCTTGTTGTTATTGTTTTTCCTTCCAGAGACAGGTAGGTCTCACTGTGTTATCTAGGCTGTTCCCAAGACCCCTGGCTCAAGCATCCTTCTACTGCCTCCTCCTGAGTAGCTGGGATACAGGTCTGTGTCTTGTCCTAAGAGGGCTTAAGTATATTTGATGAAAATTTAACATCCAAGCCTAGTGTGGTGGTGCATGTCTGTAATTCAAACACCCAGGAAGCTGAGGCAGGAGGATCGCTGTGAGTTTGAGGCCAGCTTGGGCTACATAGTGAGTTCAAGGCCAGCCCCTGAACTATAGAGCAAGACCCAGTCTCAGAAAACAAGAAATAACAAACAAAATTAACATCCGAATTGATCTGGCCCTGAATCAAGGCCAGCAGCTTCCTGACACTGTTGGTTTCAAGCAGGAGCCTAAAGAGATGTCTTTCTATGGTCTGTTGGTCATTTCAGAACTTGGGCAGTGAAATGGTCAATTCATTAGAAAGAAACAGCTTGAAGCAACCCCTTCCACCATGGCCATGAGCGGTTGTGAGCGTGGAGGCTGCGGCAATCCAGTACAGGAGTCACCTGTGTTTACTGGGACCCACGGCATGCTGGGACCTGGAATACAGGGAAACCAAGCAACCCCTCCCCAATGCCTGTTTTGCTTTGTTGAACTTAAATATACATGAAAGTATGGACAGCTATTTTGAAGAGACACTATGACAAGCCATTAGTGACTTCTCTATTGTCTGGTTTGGAAGACCTAAAATGCCTTCCTCATTCTGTTCGGATCAGTTTTGTACTATGTTATTTTGTATGAAATCTCCGTATATGGACGACTATTTGGAAAAAAAGGCAAGAGACAATATGATAGATAGTGAAGATCTTAGGTCGTCTAGCTCTGAAATTTATATCTGTTACATTGCTGTCTTATGTCCTATTTTGTTCTGTTTTGTTGTATTTAATTTTACTCCCCTTTAAAATAAAAAAAAATCTGAATTGAGTGAAAATACACATTGCACTTCAAAGACTCACTGCAAAATTAAATAAACAAATAGAAGAGGTAAAGTACCTTGTTAATATTTTTATATTGGCTACATATTGAAATGATAATATTTTGAAGATATTGAGTTAAATAAACCATTAGATTAACTTCACCTGTTTCTTCTTCATTCGTAACATAGTCAAACAGACAATTTTCTGCTTTTTTTTTTTTTTTTTTTGGTAATAGGGATCAAACTCATGACCTCATGATTGCCAGGCAGGTGCTTATGCCACTAAGCAAAATCCCCGACCAATTAGACAATTTTCAGCTGCATTTGTGGATTTGTGGCTGATGTGTGTTTCATTTGTACAATATTGTCTTAGAGGATGCTATCATCATTTTGACCAAAGGTAAAAAGAGCAAGCACTAGGGGCTGGAGTGTAACTCAGTGAGAGGGTGCTTGCCTAGTACACAAGGCCTGAGTTCTACCCTCAGCACTGCCAAGAAAAGAATCAAACATTTGTCTCGATTTGCTTAACTATCTTTACCTGGCAGTAACTAAGCGGTTGATAAAGGTGACTTTGCTTTTAGATGAGCCACTAGCCCGGTGGCTGTGGTGCTGCAGCAGGATGAATTCTAATTCATGGCTCTGGTGTTGGATTCCACAGCCTCACCCTTTCTAGACAAGAGTTCCACCACCAAGCCATGCTGCAGCTGGGGGCTCTTTTAAGAGCCCGGATGTGTTAGAGATCAAGAAGGAAATACTAGTAAATGACCAAAGGTTCCAGGGTGTGAGTGACAACAGAGAGGAATTAAGAGCAGCCATGGGTTAATCATTGTTAATCCTGATGATGGCTTCATGAGGTTTATGATACTTCTCCCTATGCCTGAAATGCTTTCCCTGAACCCTCTACATAAAACCAGGCCCTTCGAAGAATGTATAGCAGTGACACTGTGCTGGTGATGTCTGGGGCTCTGTTTATACCCCTGTCCCCTACCCTGCTGATCCCTTTTGGCTTCTGAAAGCAAGCTGGATTTCAGCTCTGGTCCCCAGCCTAAAACATGGTGTCCACACTCAAAGGTACATGTGCTTGCAGAGTGAATACACAGACTGCCTGCTCTGAGCAGACCTCCGTCCTGCCCAGGGTCACCTCTGGCTGTCCGCTTCCCCTGCCTAGCATGTTCCATGCACCCAGCCTGTTATAGCTTATCTGATTCTGCTCTAGAAAACTTCTCTCTACTGCCTGGTTATAGAGAGAGTACTAGATATCCAGGTATGACCAGAGTTTGAAATTCTAGACAGGGAACGGGTACCCTTTACTAAATATCCAGAGTGACAACAAAATGTAAGGAAAATTTAGAGTCAGTGCTGGGCCCCCATGTCCTGAAGGCAGGAATGTTGTCTCATTTTCTTTGTATCTTCATTTCCTGGATGGACCCCTTCTGGGCTCCATGAGAGGGGTCTTGCAGATGAAGGAGGAAGAAGCCAATCACCTGCTTCTGATACCTCTTCACTTTGAAACAGGAATTTCAAAGTCGGCTATTATGTTCTGAACATGCTGTCCTATTTACACTGGAACCTAATCCCCAAAGCCACACTATTAACACACAGGGTACTCAAGAGGTCGCTGCTATATTTTGGCACCGCTAGGAGGTGGGGGAACCTTTAGGAGGTGGGACCAAGTGGAACTTACATCACTTGGGGTCATGGCCTTGATGGGATATTGGGACCTTGATCTTTTCCCTTCCTCTTTTTTTGCTTCCCTGCAGCCTTGAAGAGATCGGCAGGCAGCCGCTGCCACATGCACCCACCTTGATGGGCTGCCTCAGCACAAGCCTGAGAGCAATGGGGCTAAGGGAACATGGGCTGAACCCTCCCAGAGCAGGAGCACCAATAAAACTTTCCTCTGGGGGCTGGGGATTTAGCTCAGCGGCATAAGGGCCTGCCTTGCAAGCAGGCAGTTGTGAGTTCGATCCCCAGTACCAATAAAAAGGAAAAAGACAAAAAAAAAAAAAAAACTTCCCTCCACTCACATTGACTAGGCATTTCACGGCAGCAACAGGAAGCCAACAGTGTCGAGGGTCATGAGGGTTTAGCCCTTGTGGATGGAATTAGTTCCCTTTATAAAAGAGGCCTCAAGAGCTCATTTGTCCTTTTTGCCAAGAAAGAACACACAAAAGGCACCATCTGTGTTTAATGAGACTCATCAGGCATCTCACCTGCCAGCACTTTGATCTTGGACTTCCCAGCCTCCAGAACTGTGAAAAATCACTTTTTGTTGTTTATAAATTACCTAGTCTAAGATATTTTGTTACAGGAGCCTGAACTGATTAAGGTAATGGGGTACAGGAAATTGGAGCCTGGGTGGCTGAGGAAGTAGTCACAAAATCAAGCCAAGTTGAAAGGTATCTGATTCCACAACTCAAAGTACCATGAAAAGCTACAGGAGTGGGTATAGCACCTAAATTCTCCGAGATGCATGAAGCCCATGAGAGAGCCAGAAAATGAACTGTTTAGCTGAGGTAATGCTGTCTACTTCTCCAAATAAGACAAAGATTCATTCTGAGAATAAGTGACCAGATTGCTTGATAGTGAATCCTGGTGTAAGCTGAGGACCAAGGGACTGAATATAAGCAACTCACAAAGAGCCTGCCTCCTGTAGAGCATGAGAACAAGTCTGTGGATTTGGGACCAGAGGTGGATCAAGTCCAAGTGCGAGTTTGGGCAAGGAATTGCTGCCTCCAGAAACCAGGCAGGAGTGACCTGACTGCTCAGCATTGTTTTCTGCAGCTGTGATAGTGACTTACTTACTGCAAAGGTAGAACAAAGCTGCGGGAAGTATTTGGAGGGTGACACAAATTAGAATCTGATGCAGAATTGCATTGCCATGCTCTTGGTAATGCTTAGATTAACTTATTCCTGCAGCAAGGAAATGCTAGGCAGGGCCAATGTGCTTGCTATAATAATAAGTATGCAAATAAGCACCAAATTACTGCCATTGGTCCTCCTGGTGTTCCCCAGCCCATCTTCCCTGTCCGCAAGGAGACAGGCTCGAGACCCAGTCATGGCTGGCAGCAGAGGGAACTGGAGTTGTCTGCCTGAGTTGGACTCTGGAGAAAACCCAGGGATCCCCCTGTAGGCAAAGCCTGGATGGGAACACAAGAGCTACTGTCTTGTGATGTGCCGTGTTACTCCCTGGTTCGTGTGGCCAGCAGTCAGCTCTGTCGTTCTTCTTGAAAGTCAGCAATGTGGGGCAGTAGGCAGATGATGCCTCCTTCACAGCAGCCCCACACTGAACCTTTGAGCCAGTGATTAAGGTAGTGCCAAGCTGTGAAACATATGTTCAGTCTGTGTCCTGTCTCAGTCCCAGTTTCCTGGCACACAACTCCTAAAACCCTCGGAATTTGGAAGTGAAAGATGTCTTTTTGTATGCTAATAAACTAGATGGCAGCCAGCTCACCCCTCAGTGGCCTCAGGATGGGAACTGCTCCCAGTGAGGGCAGTGTCCTTCCCTCTGGCCTCCAGAGAAAAGGTCTGAAGATTGAGTTGATACCAGTGGACACTGAGGCAGTCAGTCACACCTGTGGAAAGAAGCTTCTGTAACTAACTGCCCACAAGGATGGGGCTCTGCCAAACAGGTGCATGTTCATGGAGGCGTAGCACCCAGTGACGGTGGGAAGACTCCCTGCCACGCACTCATACTATGCCTTAGACATCCCTTGGTTGGTAGCCTTTAAAATACTCTTGGTTTTTCTGAGTTCTGTGAGCCACTCTAGCTTTTTCCATTTGTTTGTTTTTGGCAGCAGTAGGGATGCAGCTCAGGGCTGAGTGCATGCTCCATTACAGAGTGATATCTGTTAGCATTATTTGGTGCAATAGAGAAGCAAAAACTACAAAATGAAAAGAACAGGTTTATTTAGTTGAGGACATAGAAAGGAGCACACAACCCACACCAGATGGGCTGTCTCCTTTGACTGGGTACAGAGAGACAGAGGATTATATGACCTCTGATTGGAAGTGGTGCGTGGGGTAGATATTGATGACATGTAAGAACCGATTAGAATTCCCTGTGCATGCCAACGGGAAGGGGAGTCGTAGTTAGGGCTGAAGAAGAAGCAGAAAGTGATAAGCATTCCCGATTTGGCCGTCTACCATGTTAGATCACCACCATAGTTGTATAGTAATTTATACTAGAGCAAGAACCTTTCAATATCTCCATTTCTGATGAACCAATTGAAGAGGGGTGAGGGGCAACCTGTGGATACTTCAGTGTATGGCAAGTCAGCAAGAAGTTCCATAGGCCAGAACTTGCAACTGCCATCTGAAGTGCGGACAGTCTGGGGACTGAGTCCTCCATCTGGGGGACCTGGCACAGCCCTCCGGTGCACAGTGTCAGCACTTGAAGGAGATGGCCTGCCAAAGGTCTGGCTTGCTTGGCCCCATCTTTGGTCACAGAAGTCTTCTGTGTTGATTTTGTTGGGGTGGCAGTATGCTAGCAGAAGGAAAACAAAACCTCTTTTTATCTGCAATTACGTTTCACGGCAAAAGGGTGCTTTTCAGGTGTGAGTAAATTAAAGATCCTGAGCTGGAGGATTAGCCTGGGTTATCTGGGAGGGCCCTACCTAACTGTATCAGCCTGTAAAAGAGGGCCCAAGTGTGAGTCCAACAACACGCTGAGAAGATGTCTGTCAGTCTTCCCTGGCTTCAAGGTTGAAGGGGCCATGAGCCAAGGAATGCAGCGGCTTCAAGCAGCTGAGAGTTACTCTGTTTTACAGCAGGCAGGAAAACAGGGACCTTGGGCCTGCAAGGGGCTGGATACTGCCAGCATTCCACGTGATCGGGACCTGCCACCTCCACAACGGGACAATGCCACAGACCCTTAATTTTGTCTGGAAAGTCCTGTACTGCACTTCTGACCTGCAGAATGGAGTGATTCCAAATTTATACCATTTCAAGTCACTAAATATGTGGTCGTTTGTTAGGCAGTAATTGAAAACGGGGGTATTGACAGAGCACTGGGTGTTAGGCTGGAGACTCAGGGCTGAATGTAGCGTCAGTTGTCAGTGGGTCCTTAGGGAGCCCTCAATTCTGGGTGCTCCCTCATCTCGCAGAGAAGTGACCTGTTTGCCCCTTCTAGCTCTGACCCTTTGTTTTCCATGCACTGATTATCA